CCTCCCACCCCCACCCCATGCCACCTTTCCCTCCTAGGCCTAGATCTGGCTTTCTTCTCCTCCTCTTCCTGCTGCTCCTTGCCGCTAGCTACTGCTGTTCCTGCTCCCGCTGCTGGTCCTGCTACTGCCACTGCTGTTGCCACCGCTGCTACCGCTGCCAGGCATACACCGCCAGCCCCTCGGGGTGTGATTTCCTCAGACCTGCCCCCAACGGTGGGACTCAGCTTTCTCCTGGCCTCCCCTACCAGCCTCCTGCCAGGTCCAGCAGCCCCCCTTCGGGAAGACACACCCAACTCTTCATCCAATGCCCCGCCCCCCTCTCCAACCTATTTTTGGGGAATCCGCTTCCTCTTAGCTTTAGTCTTAACACCTCCTTGGGTTGTCAGGGGCTATGCCCAACTTTAGTCCAGTTGAGTATCAGCCCTTTGGGATTCTTAGGCCCCTTTTTCCTTGCTCTGGAAGTCTTCAGATATGAACCAGGCTTTCAAAATCCCTCCAGATAACTTCTTGGCAGGCTATCACCCAGACTTTTACAAAATAACCCAGTCCCATATATACCACCCCAACCCCCTTCTCCATCTCTGCTAGGGGGCTCCCACCTCGCCTGCCTTCCTCAGAACTGTAGAGTGTAGACAACACCCTCCAGGCTGTTCCTGGCAGCTCCAGTCACTCCCAACACATTTTTTAGCATCTTTGCAACTTTCTGGCTCTATCCCCCCCACCCCCCCAGATGCTCCAGATCTGTAAGGGGGCTCCAACCCTGGTATCTTTCTCCAGAAGTCTTGACAGTGTGGAAGGCCCTTGACTCCAGTCTTGGACCCTCCAGTACTGCCCCCTCCAGAGTCTCATTATCTTTCAAAGCACCTCTGGTCCCATCTGCACCTCTCTGGATGGCCTTTATCTATCTCCTCTGCAGCCCAACTGTGGGGTTTCAGACCCTTTTTCCTTCTCTAGGAACTCTTTAGAGTGTAGACAACTCCCCACCTGCCAGATACCCCCAGACTTCTCTCAGGCATGTGCTGACTCCTCTGGAATCATCTCAGTCTCTCTAAACCTGAGGATCCTTCATGGTTCCTCTGGCACCTCAGCCCCTTCTCAGTCCTTTGGAACACCCTTCAGGCTTTTCCTAGACCCTCATTTTAAATGCGCCCCAAGCTCCTGCCTGTCTCTCCAGTTCCTCTTCCTGGTTCCTCCTGGCCTCTCTAGACACCTCCCCGGTTGGTTTCCTGGTCTGGTAGCCCAAGGCTTCGCCAAGCCCCCACCATCCTCGAGATAGTAGCCACAGTCTCCTAAACGCCACCCCCCCCAAGTCTCCGTAGGCCTGGGGAGCCTCAGGATGGCGGCAGGCGTGGCCACATGGCTGCCCTTTGCACGGGCCGCAGCGGTGGGCTGGCTGCCCTTAGCCCAGCAGCCCCTGCCCCCTGCACCCGGGGTGAAGGCATCTCGAGGGGATGAAGTTCTGGTGGTGAACGTGAGCGGCCGGCGCTTTGAGACCTGGAAAAACACACTGGATCGCTACCCAGACACTCTGCTGGGCAGCTCTGAGAAGGAATTCTTCTATGATGCTGACTCGGGCGAGTACTTCTTCGATCGTGATCCAGACATGTTCCGGCACGTGCTGAACTTCTACCGCACTGGCCGGCTGCACTGCCCTCGGCAGGAGTGCATCCAGGCCTTTGATGAAGAGCTTGCCTTCTATGGCCTGGTCCCAGAGCTTGTGGGTGACTGCTGCCTTGAAGAGTACAGAGACCGCAAGAAAGAGAACGCCGAGCGCCTGGCGGAGGATGATGAGGCCGAGCAGGCAGGGGATGGCCCAGCCCTCCCGGCAGACAGCTCCCTGCGACAGCGACTCTGGCGGGCCTTCGAGAATCCACATACTAGCACAGCGGCACTTGTTTTCTACTACGTGACTGGCTTTTTCATAGCTGTGTCGGTCATCGCCAATGTGGTGGAGACCATCCCGTGCCGTGGCCCTACGCGGCGGCCTACGAGAGAGCAGCCTTGCGGTGACCGCTTCCCCACGGCCTTTTTCTGTATGGACACAGCCTGTGTACTCATATTCACAGGTGAATACCTCTTGCGGCTTTTTGCCGCCCCCAGCCGTTGCCGCTTCCTACGGAGTGTGATGAGCCTCATCGACGTGGTGGCCATCCTGCCCTACTACATTGGGCTTTTTGTGCCCAAGAATGATGATGTCTCTGGTGCCTTTGTCACCCTGCGTGTGTTCCGTGTCTTCCGAATCTTCAAGTTCTCTAGGCACTCCCAGGGCTTGCGGATTCTGGGTTACACACTCAAGAGCTGTGCCTCTGAGCTGGGCTTTCTTCTCTTTTCCCTCACCATGGCCATCATCATCTTTGCCACTGTCATGTTTTATGCTGAGAAGGGCACCAGCAAGACCAACTTTACAAGCATCCCTGCTGCCTTCTGGTATACCATTGTCACCATGACCACACTTGGGTAAGTACAGACCTTGAATTGGGAGCTATACTATTATCATACACTTTCTGTACCATCAGGGAAGTTAGAAAATGATCTCTATGCCTCTGTAGTGATAGACATTGAACCCAGAGCCTCACAGGAAGGCATCACACTTGGAAAGCACAGGCTCTGCCTCTCTCTTCTTTATTTTGAGATATTGCTATGCACAGCCCAGACTAATTTCAAATGCATTATTTTCCTCCCAACAGCTAGGATTATAGGTGTGTACCAGCACACTTGGTTCTTTAATCTCCTTTTGAGCTTCAATTTCTTCATCTGTAAAAATTTAGAAAGTTGGGGCTGGAGATGGCTCAACAGTTCAGGTTTAGTTCCCAGCACAAGCACCTGCACACATGTGTGCATATCCACACACAGACATGCACATATGCACATAATTTAAAATAATAAAAATAACCCTAAAAATAAATTTTATGAGCCAGGTGTGGTGGCACACACCTTTAATCCTAGCACTCAGGAGGCAGAGGCAAAAGGATGGGTAGTTCAAGGCCAGCCTAGGCTACATAGCAAGATTCTCTCTCAATAAAAAGTAATGCTGATTTCTATCTAATAGAAAACATCAAGGAATCATAAAGTCCCAGAGGCAGTACCCATATAACAGACAATTCTAGAACAGTTGGGAGACATGAAACCTCCAGATGGAAAAGGGATAGTGGGGAAGTCAAAACTTATGGATCCTGCATGAGAAGCATTCAGAAAACTCACAACCATGGTATCATTCAATCTTCTCAAAGGGATTGTTTGAAAGAAACTGAGAAGCCTAGCATGGTGGCTCATGCCTGTAATCCCCTTAGCTGGGAGACTAAGGTAGGAAGATTCCTGTGAGTTTGAGACCAGCTTTGCTATATAGTGAATTCATGCCAGCTTAGGCTACATAGTGAGACCCTGTCTCAAAGAAAAAAGGAAACTGAGGTCCTAAGCATGTTAAGTGCACCCATGTCATACAATGCCTGTGGAAGCCGGACGAGGGCATCAGATACCCTGGAACGAGAGTTAAGTAAGGTTAGCTACCATGTGGGTACTGGGAACTGAACCCAGGTCCTCTGCAAAAGCAGCCAGTGCTCTTAATGACTGAGTCATTCCTCCACCCTTATCTATTATTTTTTTTATTGCAAATCCTTAAGAGGAAATAGAGTTGAGGCAAATGGAATCACCAAACTCATGATGTTCATTTTTCTTTGTGTGTGTATGGGGGGGGGTCGGTAATGGGGATTTAACCCAGGGACTCATACATACTAGCTACAAGCTCTACCCTAACTCTTGTAGTGTTTTGTTTTGTGACACTATGGGTCTCACTATGTAACCCTGGCTGTCCTGGAACTCCCTATGTAAACCAGGCTGACCTGGAACTCACAGTGATCCACTTGCCTCTGCCTCCTGAGTATTGGAATTAAAGGTGTGAGACACCACCCCTGGCCTTATTTTATTTTTTTGAGACATGATCTCAGTGTATAGCCCTGGCTGACCTGCAGTTCCCTGTGTAGACCAGGCTGGCCTTGAACTCACTGAGACCCACCTCCCAAGTACTGGGATCAAAAGCTTGCACCACCATGCCCAGCACCTTTATTTTGAGAATGGTCTCTCACTGAACATGAGGCTCATCAATTTGGCTAGGTATAATGATCAATATGACTCCAGGGGTATGCCTGCCTGTCTCTACCTTCCAGTGCTGGAATTACAGGCACATGCCTCTGACTGGCTTTTTACATGGGTTCTGGAGTTATGAACTCAGGTCCTTGTGCTTACATACAGCAGGCACTTTACTGACTGTCTCCTTAGCACCCTCATAGTGGGTTTTTTTTGGTCTTTTTGAGACAGGGTCTCCCTGTAGCCCCAGCTGGCCTAGAACTCATTTTGTAGACCAGGCTGGCATTGAACTCACAGAGATCCCGCCTGCTTTTGCCTTTAGAGTGCTGGGATTAAAGGTGTGTGCCACCATGCCTGGCCAACAGTGTTTACTTAAAGATGTTGTGCAGAGTAGATGCTGTGATCTTTCTCTAAATTTCCATCACTGGGATTGGGCAGACTGCTGCTGTTCAGTATCTGTAGAATGAATGTCTGAATCTGGTTGGTGCTTTGATAGAAGTACAAAAGTTTCTAAGGAGTAGAAATTAATTCTGGTTGGAGGCTCCTAAGTGAGACACAGTCTGAGGTGACATATCACACAGCTAGACATGACCACATTAGAAAGGCTTTGGAGCAGAGCCCTGAATGCTTAAAATAAATGAAAAGAACTGGAGATATGGCTCAATTGGTAGAGTGCTTACTTAGCAAGCATGAAGTCCTGCGTTCAATCTCCAGTACTGCATAAACTGAACATAGTGGCACATGCCTGTAATCCTAGCCCTTGGGAGGTAGAGTAGCCCTTGGGAGGTAGAGGTAAGAGGATCACAAGTTGAAAGTCATTCTGGGATACATTGTGAGTTTGAGGTCAGCCTGGGATACATGAGACTTTGTCTCTAAAGTAAAAACAAAAAGAAAACAACACAACAAAACATACCACAGAAATAAGGAAGACCCACCTTAGGGGAGAGTATAAGCAAAGGCCTAAAAGCTAAAGACTGCAGAGGCTGTTTCTGTGCAGGAGTTCTACTTGGTCTAATGGTCAGAATAAAAGTGTGCTATGCATTCCTGAGCAAGTCAACTATGAAACCTCTCTGAGCTTTGTTTTCTACCTTTGAGAAACAAGTCATTAGGGTTAGTTCTGTTTCATCTCCATGGGAAAGGAGTGGCTTGGAGGAAGGCTGGGTTAGTTTTGAGACGCTTTCATAGGAGAAGTTTTAAGTCTTCCACTGGGGGAAATCAGAAATGGTCCTACCTAGAAAATGTGGAGGGGCAGACAAAGCAATTGTCCTGAGATACAGAGCCTCTCATGTGACTTGTACTTAGTGGGACCCTTCCTAGGAGCCTATTTTGTTGTTGTTGTTGTTGTTGCAGTCTTTTTGAGGCAGGATCTCCTTTTAGCCCCAGTTGGTCTGAAACTTGCTATGTAGACCAGGCTGGCCTTGAACTCACAGAGATCCACTTGCTTCTGCCTCCTGAGTGCTAGGATTAGAGGCGTGCGCTACCACACCTGGCTTGAGTGTTTAATTTTTATTATTTTAAAATTATGTGAGTGCAGGTGCTTGAGGAGTCCAGAAGAGGGTGTTGCCTCCCCTGGAGCTGTGGTTACAAGTGGTTGCCAGCTGCTTGACATGGTATCTGGGAACTGAACTCAAGTCTTCTGGAAGAGCATTATAGATTTTAACCACTGAGCTGTCTCTCCAGCTCCATTCTCCACATTTTGTAGTGTACAAAACTGAGACTCAGCGTCTGAGTCCTTGGCCATGGTTGCAGAGTGTTTCAGGACTAGATGGGGTAGAATGGGGGACTGGATACTTTTTATGACTTTGGTCTACTTTCCCCCCTTTCCCAGATATGGAGACATGGTGCCTAGCACCATTGCTGGCAAAATTTTTGGATCCATCTGCTCACTTAGTGGTGTCTTGGTCATTGCCCTGCCTGTGCCAGTCATTGTGTCCAACTTTAGCCGCATCTACCACCAGAACCAGCGTGCTGACAAGCGCCGAGCACAACAGGTAACTTTGTCTTCCTTCTGAGTACTGTCATTCCCCACACCCTAAGCCTGTCTGCTCTTGGGCTCATCTTCCTAACCCTCTGTCTCCTCTTTGTAGAAAGTGCGCCTGGCGAGAATCCGGTTGGCAAAGAGCGGTACCACCAATGCCTTCCTGCAGTATAAGCAAAACGGGAGCCTTGAGGTGGGGAGGAACCAGGATCTGGGTTGGGGTGAGCAGGAATGGGAGGGAAAAGTGCTCACTGCCTCTTTTTGCTCCATTCATTGTAGGACAGTGGCAGTGGGGAGGGACATGTGCTATGTGTCAGGAGCCGGTCTGCTTTTGAGCAGCAGCATCATCATTTGCTGCACTGTCTAGAGAAGACTACGGTGAGACCAAACAGGATGCAGCAGGGTAGGAGGGAGAGGGATCTAACACCAAGCTGTCCCCCTTATTTGGATGGAAGGCTTACTACTTAGTTATGGAGATCACATGGGGCTTCCTGGAAGAGGCTGAGACTTGCAGGATAGGCAAGGGTAGGAAAGGACAATGACTTTGCTTAAGCAAAGGCCTATAAGTAGCACCAGCTCTCATGGGTACCCTGTGACCCTGCTTCTCTTCTGCCCACAGTGCCATGAGTTCACAGATGAGCTAACCTTCAGTGAGGCCCTTGGCACTGTCTCGCTGGGTGGTCGAACCAGCCGTAGCACCTCAGTGTCTTCTCAGCCAATGGGGCCTGGCAGCCTTTTATCATCCTGCTGCCCTCGCAGGGCCAAGCGCCGGGCCATCCGTCTTGCCAACTCCACTGCTTCGGTCAGCCGAGGCAGCATGCAGGAGCTAGACACACTGGCAGGGCAGCAGAGGAGCCCTGCCCCTCAGAGGTAAGCACCTGCCCCTCCTGTTGTCCACAGTTGGAAAGTACAGAACTTGGCCCTGTGGGTTTGTGATTACATGACCAAGCAAGTCAAGCCCAGACCCAAACCCCTCTGTGCAAGGACCCTGAGTTTATCTTGGAAACTCCTCATTCTTCATTCAGTTTTTTTTCAAGACAGGGTCTTGCTTTGTAGCCCAAGTTGACCTGAAACTCATGATAATCCTGTCTCAGCCTCCCAAGTGCTAGAATTATATGTGTGTATTGTTGTCACACCATACTCTGCTCTTGATAATCATTCATTCATTTTTTTTCTTTTTTTGAGACAGGGTCTTCCTGTAGCCCCAGCTGGCCTGGAACTCATGTAGAACAGGCTGGCCTTGAACTCACAGGGTCTAATTGTATAGCACTGTTTGGCCCAGAACTCATTATGTATGCTAGGCTGGCCTCAGACTCACAGAGATCCCTGCCTCTGCCTCCCAAGTGCTGTGATTGAAGGCATGCGCCCCACAGCCAGCTAATTTTTTCTTCTTTAATAAAATTGCCTGGCATGGTGGCACATGACTTTAGTCCCAGCACTTGGGAGGCAGAGGCAGGTGGATCTTTGTGAGTTCAAGGATAACCTGGTCTGCATAACCAGTCCAGACCTTGTCACCAAAAAAGTGGTGCATACCTTTAATCTCAGCACTCAGGAAGCAGAGGCAGGCCTATCTGTGTGAGTCCGAGGCCAGCCTATTATGCATAATGAGTTCTGGACCAAACAGGGCTACACAATGAGACCCTGTCTCAAAACACAATAACAACAAAACCCCCCAAAAAACCCAAAATAATATTTTTAGTGCTGGGGGTAGAACCTTAAGGCCTCACACATTAGTCAAATGCTAAATGCTCTAACCACTGAGCAATACTGCAACCTGATGCAGGTTTATTAGTGTGGTCAAGAAAATCTTTTCTGGTCAGGCATGGTGGCACATGCCTTTTAATCCTAGCATTCTGGAGGTAGAGGCAGAGGCAGAGGCAGAGGCAGAGACAGGCAGATCTCTGTAACTTCAAGGCCAGCCTGGTCTACATAGTGAGTTCCAGGCCAGTTGGGGCTACAGAGAGACCCTATCTCAAAAAGGCAAAAAAAAAATCCTTTCTGAGGAATCTTTTCTGGTCAGGCATGGTGGCACATGCCTTTTAATCCTAGCATTCTGGAGGTAGAGGCAGAGGCAGAGGCAGAGGCAGAGACAGGCAGATCTCTGTAACTTCAAGGCCAGCCTGGTCTACATAGTGAGTTCCAGGCCAGTTGGGGCTACAGAGAGACCCTATCTCAAAAAGGCAAAAAAAAAATCCTTTCTGAGGTGCTGGCGAGATGGCTCAGCAATTAAGAGCACTGGCTGCTCTTGCAGAGGACCCAGGGTCAGACACCCTCTTCTGGCTTCTGCAAGCACTGCAGAATGTGGGTGCACTTAGATACACACAGGCAAAACTCTCTCTCTCTCTCTCTC